TTACCGTGACAGGCTGCAACATGTCTAAAGGCGATAAATCTATCCCAGCTTCTAAGCTGCTCAACAGATTCATAATGTGCTTAAAAACAGCATGTAAAAAATTAAATCCTCCATCCTACTACAGGAATAAAAAAAGCTTTGGGGAACATTTTGCCCTAGACTAACCTTTTTTAACCAGGCACTATTCCCAGCACACTAAGCAGACACAAGCAGTTCATGGGATCTTTGCAGTGAATGAGGCAAGATTTCATTTTCTGATAGAGGCACATGAGAGAAACATTCCTAATTCTGGATATGTCACACAGGAGTTTCATCAGTTGTGGAGAATTGAGGGCTAATCTCTAAGGACTGTGTTCCTGGACTATCTGTAAAGGGAGGAAGACTTACCTCCATAAGATGACATGCCAAGTCAAGCATGTGGGGTGATAGAGATCCGTTTACTCAGCAAATTGTGCGAGACTGTGCATGGGCTACAGAGCTTTATTGTTTCGACTAAGTGATTTATGATGTACCCCATGGACCTTAGTCAAGGTAGGCGCCATATTTAAGTTGACATGAATGAAAACGTGGCTGTGAGAGATAGACATATGGGTTGCGGGATTGTATGTTTTAAAGTCCCAGGTTGGATCTACATTTTCAGTTTTTGATCATTGAACAGACTGTACATCTATTCCACAATACCAGTGTTATTTTAGTGTTATTTACTGTTATAGTATTTATTAATATTTTTAGCTTTTATTTTTTTATTTAGATTTCTAATTTTAATCTTTGTTATTTTATTATGTGCTTTTGTCATTTTTTTTTGCATTTCTAAATAGCTCTAATTATTTTTATTTTTATTTCAGTTTAGTTTGTTATTGTAGTATTTTTTTTATTTTATCTAATATTTAGGCTATATCTAATTGTATTTCACCGTTATTTCTGCTACCAAAATTGTTTTTTTTTGTAGTTTTTGTTAACAATAACACTGGGTAGAACATATACTGTGGGCTGAGACTGTCTGAGACTGAGAATGCTTTTGTTCTTCATTTTTCATATTTAATACAGACATTTTCCTGACAAATTATATGATCAGCATAACAATTTGAGTGAAAAGTTGATCTGCAAATAATGATGATTATTATTATTAATGTGATTTTCCTTTGTTTTAAAATGTTAAAAAATCCAAAAATATGTACTTTTATATTCAATGTTTAAATTACATTTCAAATTTCAGATTCCTGGAGATGTTTTGGACTCCACTGTGTATCTACTCTAAGATGCATGCAGATTTGTTTTTTGTCTGAGACATTATATACATAAAGTGTACATGAAGGAATGATGTTAGAATAAACCAAAACAAAATATCATTATTAAACCTGGCATTTTAAATGTGGCATCGATGATGGTTGTCAATCTAAGGCTGTTAATACAAGATTTTCCTTCAATATTTTTTCTCCTATTTATTATTTCTGATTTCGTGTCTGGCTTTTTCATCTATTTTGGAAATATCCAAGCGTGTCCTGTGGGTAATGAAAGAACTGATCACTGTTGCCCTTCTGCACACCCCGTCTTGTATACCAAAGAGAGTCCCTTTTGTAATTAATCCTAGCAATTACTGGCAGCTGTGTTAGTATTAGGACGGAGTTTTTAAAATTGGACATTCATCTTAGGGGAGGCAGTGCAGCATATTTTTTTACTTTTTAATTTTCCTATTCCTGTCTATATTCTAGAAGTTTTTTTCTCCTTCTTTTTTTTCTTATTTTTCTCCTTCTGTTTACTCCCTTCACACTGTCTTTTGTGGCACTTGATATGTTTGTTTTGAGTTTAGCCTTATAACCCTCTAGTCATGGCTCTGTGATACTGTACGGTTATATTTTGATGATTTTCCCCCCTCTTTCTCTTTTTTTTGTTCTTTTATGTGACATCCTAGAGTGGACGGAATGTGGGCTGTAACATTTCCTTTCATAACACTAGTTTTACAGATTCCTACTTGCATTCAGTGGGGTATGCATATTAGCACTAAGTGGTGACGTAAGACTATGGGCCCTATCATACATCCGACGGAATGCAGCGCCAGGCGCGATGCAAGTGTTTTTTGCTAGTTTCAGCACGAAGCAGTTATCATTTTCACGTCCTGCGCCGCGTTGTTTAAATAGCAAATGCATTTGAACCCATGGGAGTGCTGGTCTGAAAACGAGGTGTGTTCAGGCGCATTGTTGGCGCCTTGCTATTTTGTGGCAACTGAAATAAAGCAATTTTGTTTTTGTTATATAAAAGGCGCATTAGTAATGTGCACCTATCGGCGGGTCCACAACGCACATACACTCTGCTTGCACACGGGGACGCGCAGCACACAAACTAACCAAATATTAAAATTAAAGGATTACAATGTAAAAGATGAATTTTGTGTAAAGATAAAGATATGGTACAATCTGGATTGTCCAGTAGATGGTCTGCTTGAGCGCTTTAACCTCGCACACGAGCAGATTGCTTTCAGATTTGCTCTCTGGAGACGCCCACCACGTAAATAGCGAATCCACCATGGTGTGAGCGCAACTGACTTTTAAAGGGAATGGAAAATTACACCCAAAACACACCCATACTCATTACGAGAATAGGGACAACACTTTTAGACCATGCGCCGTGCGCGCCAACCATTTTTCCCATCGTTAAACTAGCAAAAAGTGGATTCGGACACGCCCTAAGTGCACTTGCGCCCTTTAGACCATGCGCTTAGATCGTTAAACTAGGGCCCTATAACATAGGATGATAAAATCAGGGAAAGCTGATATGCTTGGTTATTTTCATGCTATGTTTCCTCATATTGCTACTAGCATTATATAATATATCACACTGGATTTATTTTCACTCAACTAAACCATTTATTAGCATCTCAGCTTACTATGGAGACTCTACTAAGCAAATGATCAGATTAGAATTGTTTTTCACCAGCACAAGACGTGTGGAATCTTATCTGCACACCACAGGTTTTTTATAGCCCAGAGTTGGCTCCTTTGGGATCTTACATGTAGCTAGTCCAGGTTATGACGCCAGCGGCCCAAGGACAGAGAAGATGAATAGATGGGTTCACAAGAGGGATGGTTTCTCTTGCAAGGTTAGCGTATCAGTACATCCTCGCATTCCCCACATGTGTTGTGTCGGGCTTATTCAAGACCAGGCTTTCATGAAAGAGCAGCCATCTGGTCTATAGAGACATCTGTAGTAGAATAGTAGATTGACAGGTTTTAGTTTCTGTTTTTTATTTTTTTTTATTTTTTTAGATCAGTTGTTGCTATTTACCATTATATAGTATAAATTGACAATTTGCACCATGTTTAAATGCAGCTTGTACCACAAATTGCAATAGTTGGTTGGAAGCAGATTTGGACTGTAGGGCAGTGATTAGATTTTTTGCATGAGTGAGTCAAATTTAAATCCGGCTTGTGACATTTTCTAATCCTATCCTCATCCTCATCTATGAATAAAAAGGCAAAAATCCTATTGTTATACTGTATATGATATGTATTTTTCTGGGTATATATACACTACCCATCAAAATTTTAAGGTCTATAAGATGTTTTTTTAAAGAAATGAATACTTTTATTCAGCAAGGATGCATTAAAGTAGAGAAATGAATGACAATAAAGACATTTGTAATGTTACAAAAGGTAACACTATCTAACTTTTGTCTTTCTATCCATGGAAATCCCTTCTCCATTCCCTATAAAAAGACCTTTGTCCCAGATGATACCAATATGCAGCCCTTTTAAAACCCCTTTTTTCTTGTTAATTGGACACGTACATTAAGAAGCCTCTCAGTAGGCTATTTTATTTCCTGAAAGCCCCACTCACAGCCCTATTAAAACTCATGTCTCCGTGTTGATCATTACCTTAATGTGATTGAGCTTTTTAAGGATGGCCTCAAAAAAAGACGAAGGACACCAAAGGAAGAGACATATAAGGATGTAAAGATAAGAAATAGTACATTCAGAAGACATAGATCGACGGCAGACAAAAATGATTTGCGAGGTGGAGAAGGTACACAAAGGACATTGATGGGAGGGACTGACAGAAAGTTTTTGCAGGTTTTCTTGTTAGTCTAGTGTTTGCTTCTGCTGAAAATGTCAATATGTGATGATCACGCTGCCAGGCTTGATTGTTCTCCTTTTAAACCAACACCGGTTGTGATAATGGGATACAAGCTTATTTACAAAAATGACAGAATCAATTTTCTAACCAAGATTATTCTTGGAAACAGCCACATGGGTTTTAAAGTAAACAGAAGCTGTATACTATAGATGAATGAATTGAATGAGAAAGTAGCATTTAATTTGTTTTGGTTATTTACAATGTCAGAGGCATTTGTGCATTACAATCTAGTATGTGTACTGTGTGATGTACAAATTGTATTACTTTTCACAAATTCAAAAAGGCACAGTGTAAAATGTGAATATAACACCTTGTCAACAACCTTAATTATTCATCAATCTCATTAAATATTTGGTTCAATTTGGTATTCCTATGACATTCAAAAATGTGATTTGTGTGGACAATATGGATGAAATCTGAGAAGATTAATACAGGCAAGTGTTGTTTCTCAGTTGTGGAATGTTTGTAGTTCCTCCATCAGTCCTGCTTTCAGCCTCTGGTATACACTCTAAAAAATGCTGGGTTGTCTTAAACCAATTTTATGTCAAATATGGACAAATCCAAACATTGGGTTAAAAATGTAATTAAAAAAATGTAACCCAACGGCTGGGTTTGTCCATATTTGACTCATAATTGGGTTAAGACAACCCAGCATTTTTTAGAGTGTAGGCGTTTTGGAGAATGTTTTAAGAAAATGTAAGAACATTTCACACTGACATCCTAACACTTGCTTTTACTTCTGTTGCTCTGTGTAGCAGGAATATAATAGCCACTATTTGTACTGGAAGTAAGAAAAGCTCAATATGTCTCAACTCCCGATCTCTCTCTCTCTTATTCTTCTTTCTTTCTGATCTCTATCACTTATTCAGGGCTGAGCCTATCCTCACCAGAGTGAAAGAAGATCACACTAGGATAATCCTCCCTGCGATAGATAATATCAAGTACAACACCTTTGAGGTGCAGCAATATGCTAATGCAGCTCATGGCTACAACTGGGGACTCTGGTGCATGTACATCATCCCACCGCAGGATTGGCTGGACAAAGGAGATGAGACTGCCCCCATCAGGTAAGGGCATCCAGCGGTCCACTCCATAATGCATGAGGACATTCTCTGAAATATAAATGACCAGGGATATAAGAGATTAATATTTTAGAAGTGATAAGGTGGCGTTAGCTTCCTGCATGTGCAATAAATGTTTTCGTTTCCCTGAAGTGCTTGTTAGTGTTATTTCACAGAGTGTGGAAAAAAAAAATTCAGTCAACACTGTAGAATTGCACGGCATACCAGTACTAAAAAGTACCATGGTTTACCACAGTTTGAGAGAATTATTATGGTGTCTGACCAGGACGACAATGTGATGCTACTCAGGATTTTAGCTCAAACATTTCTAACACCAAGATCATGGAAATGTTTTGATTCCCAGGGAATGGAGTTTAATTATAATCAAAGCTCTACAAGTATGAAATATATTTTTGTTCAAATATTACCTACATACATGGTGGCCCCAAAAAGTATTTGGACGCTGAAACTACAATTAAAAATGCATAAAGCTTATTGCAACGGATATCAAAATATCAAAATAAGTGGCATATTTGTTTTAAAGAAATATAGCAAGCACAGTTTTTAGTTTACAGTGACCCCAAAAAGTATTTGGACACTTAAAAATATCTGAATTTCATATTATTAGTGCCATATGCAAATAAAATGATGCTATACTCTCTCTCTCTCTCTCTCTCTCTCTCTCTCTCTCTCTCTCTCTCTCTCTCTCTCTCTCTCTCTCTCTCTCTCTCTCTCTCTCTCTCTCTCTCTCTCTCTCTCTCTCTCTCTCTCTCTCTCTCTCTCTCTCTCTCTCTCTCTCTCTCTCTCTCTCTCTCTCTCTCTATATATATATATATATATATATATATATATATATATATATATATATATATATATATATATATAGTACATGATACCATCCACTGATACCTTGGTAGGAATACTGATTGTAGTAAACATACACACTATCTGCAATCATTTTACTTGCATATGGCACTAATGCAATGAATTTCAGACATTTTTAAATGTGTCCAAATACGTTTTGGGGTCACTGTATGCAAGTAAGATTATTGCAGATAGTATAAATATGTTTAATACAATTAGTATTCCCACCAAGGTATCAGTGGATGGTCTCATACCGAAGCCACAATTTTGATGTCGCCCAGCCCTACATGCTCCAATTCTCAAATCATGAGCCTCTACAGTGAGATACTCATTTTATGCTTAAAACCAACTTGGTGAAATGAGCTTTGTTACAGCTCAGTCCTAAACCCCTGAAAGAGATGGATATACCCTGCCAGAAAAGAGTGGACTTTTTCATTTCGTATGAAATCTGGTCAAGGTCGCTATTGTGTGAGAGTATCAGGACAGCAGAAATCCCATTCATTATTCATGCCTCTGACTGATAGCTATTTGGAGAGAGAAACTAGGCCTGTAGCCCAGTATTACTGGAGCTGATCCCTGTGATGCCTCATATTGGTTACTGAAAAGTTTTTTTTTATATCCTAAGAGCTTTTGATTTGGAGAGCCAGGGTGATCCCATACACTTTTATAACTATTCCTACCTAAAGTAAACGTATACTGTAAACATTTTTTTGTATTTAGCGCATAGCATCTAAAACGTATTTTTTTTCATATATATTAAACTTTACAGTCACAAATCTTCACAAAATGGATGTTTGCAAGAATACCGCCAGTTGAACTGTATTCGTAAGTGTACTTTTGTGGTGGACCAATTGTGCGTTTTTATATTTTCAACATTTGTTAGTGTGTAATGTTGCTGTTTGACCATGAAAACGTCTGTAAAGTTACAGAGCATAAGTCACTCCAAAAGGAGTTATTCTCTAAATCAGTAAGTACGGTTTCTGAACTCTCTGAAACGCCTCGATTTTAGTCTTGAGTTTTCTTCCGGGAACGTACACGTCACAATATTCCTCATTTAAATAATTCCCGGCCAAGGCATACACAAAAAAAAAAAGGAGGGATGTCTAGTTGAGTTGCGTTAGTAGTGTGTCATGGTAAGGGTCGTGACATTTCCTAAACACGTGTAACTATCGTAGACCAGTAAGAGGTGTGCGTGTAAACCTCACTCCCCTGATCTCAAGAGGCGCTCTACCGACTAATGCTAGAGGTTGCGTTCTTTAGCCTTGTTTTTAGAGCGCCCGCCGGAGACCACGGTTCATATCCCGCTCGGAGCGGGTCGAGTAGAACAGGTTACACATGCTTGAGGCAGTTGACGAATCACAACACACTCGTCCAGCCGACCAATCAGAGCCCATTGCACTTTTCGGGAGGAGGGGTTTCATAGAGACCGGAACTAATCAGAGCGTTTCTGACAGACTGGGAAGAGAGATGCTGCAATAATGTAAAATATGTGAAAAATAATATTTTTTGAACATTCAAGCATGAAAACCTTTTGTAGTAGACACCACAAACAACATCAAGACCTTTTTAAAGTAAAATCTTACTTACTATCATTAATTATAAATACAATGAAATAAACCTATGAATTATGAACTAAAACACCTTTTAAAAACACATTCGTGCATTCGTGCATTCAAAGTATAAATGTTTTATCAGCGAGTGTTGCTAGCGCCATGCTCCACCAGATGAGCTACAGCTTTAGGATCTTGATTAGTGAGTCTTTCCAAACGAATTTAGATTAATATGATTAATCTCTCAAGATCGATTCCTACTGTACTTCACTACTCAATTAAAAAAAATCATATAAGCATATATGACCTGAGGTAACAATATAAGTTAAATATTTGAACAAAATCTCATTACAGAAAAAGGCAACAGTCATTGTCCCTCAAGTGCTGATATTGACAGGTTCAAAATGGCCGCCCGCAGGCCTGCAGTATGTCAATGTGGTGCACTATTGGAAATCATTTCAGCTCTACTTCTCTCGAGCTCTCAGTGTATCCACTGCAGCTCAGCTAGCCTGTGGCTATTCAGCACTGAGGATCCCAATACTCATAGCACACTGCAGCAGGGTTTATTTAAATGATTCATGTTTACTGTTAAATGAAGGACAGTCCAATTCAAATGTCTGTAAATAAGCAATTAGTCGCTCTATAGGGATAAACGCCATGAATGCTTATGATATTCCACGAAACATTTTCAAGAAAGACCACCTTGGCTAGGCTGTGCACATGAAGTGCTTATAAAAATGCTTAAAAGTGCTCATGGATTGTATTGTTTTGTTGTTTTAGAGCATTGAATCACAGTGTTCTAATTGGGCTTTTTGGCATTGATCAATAGAAAAAGATCATTTAATGTAAAAATTAAGATACATTTTTATAAAGTCATCTAAAATAATCAATGATTTTATTTACTAGGAGCCCTCTGATAGAAAATCGTTGTTTTCAAGAGGGTTCATTAGTTAAAGGGTTAGTTCACCCAAAAATAAAAATTCTGTCAGTAATTACTCACCCTCATGTTGTTCCAACCCCGAAAGACCTTCGTTCATCTTCGGAACACGAATTAAGATATTTTTGATGAAATCTGAGAGCTGGATCACTCCTCCATACTAGTCCATAGGCTTCTTCAGGGATTGAACTTGCCGGCCTCGAAAAGTTATTAAAGACAACTTTAATAATCAAGCGACGCGAATACTTTTTGTGCGCAAAAAAAAACAAAAATAACGACTTTATTTCAACTATTCATTTCCTTCTCTTTGGGCCTCTAGTCAGTTCACTAGTGTAATAGCGTAAGCTTCTGTTGTTGTACGTCACACGCATCACCCACATGACCAGCGTCGGCCAATAGTGAGCCTACGTGTGACGTAGCTCTACGGAATCACACTACGTTAACTGACTCGAGGCCCAAATAGAAGGAAATGTATAGTTGAAATAAAGTCGTTATTTTTGTTTGTTTTTGCGCACAAAAAGTATTCTCGTCGCTTGATAAACTTAAGATTGAGCCACTGTAGTCACTTGGACTATTTTAACTATGTCTTTAATAACTTTTCGAGGCCGGTAAGTTCAATCCCTGAAGAAGCCTATGGACTAGTATGGAGGAGTGATCCAGCTCTCACATTTCATCAAAAATATCTTAATTCGTGTTCCGAAGATGAACGAAGGTCTTACGGGGTTGGAACAACATGAGGGTGAGTAAATACTGACAGAATTTTCATTTTTGGGGTGAACTAACCCTTTAACATTAGTTAATGTATTTACAAACATGAACTAACAATGAGCAATACATTTATTACAGTATTTATGAATCTTTGTTGATTTTAATAATGTATTAAAAAAAATTCTGAAATTAACATTAACTAATATGAAAAAATTCTGTATTTTTCATGAGAGAGAGAGAGATAGAGGATAGCATCATTTTATTTGCATATGGCCCTAAAACAATGAAATTCAGACATTTTTAAGTGTCCAAATACGTTTTGGGGTCACTGTAAACTGAAAACTGTGCTTGCTATTAAAAAATGCTGTATTGTGTAACTAAAGTAGTTAACTATTGTTACCTAATGAAACCTTATTTTAGTGTTACCCAGTAAATTATGCATAATTACAAGTAACTAAACCTAAAACAAACTCTAACCCTAACTGTAACTCTATAGTATAGAGTTAATTAATAACACTCAGTACTTATTTAAGTAAGTACAATGTAACTACGTCACCTTAAAATAAAGTGCAACCAATTGTTTTACTGAATTGATTATTTAATGAACCCGAGATACATTTTTAGCTAAAGTAGTCTACTAATGTTAAATGATGAAACCTTATTGTAAAGTGTTACCAAAATATGTTTCAAAACATTTGCGTTTGCTCGCAAAACTGTTGTGTTCCCCAGCGTTGCATTTTACTTCACCATGACCCTTTAGGGCTTCCGTACCTGAGAATTGAACCCTTGATCACAGTGTTCCTTGCGCCATGCTGTACAGTATTTTGAGCTACAGGACTGCATTGTAACCAAGCATAGACAACTGATTCTAAAGTGTGAGCTTTAAGCACATCACATCGCACCAGGAACGAAGAGATTGTCTGACAATTTTTTTCCTTTCTGTTGAGTGATAAACGGGCCACATTAATTCCTTTGTGGCTCGGTATTGTTAGAAAATAAAACAAAACATTCCAAGAGTGTGTATATTTTTATAGGCACTGTACTTGTTTCCAACTCCAAAATAAAGAAGGAATAAATTAGTGTAAAGTGTAAATCAGCATTTTCAAAACACACCACAGATTATTCTTGCAATGAAAACGTTTCTTTTCAAACAATCTTCTATTTGCAAAAGTATCTATAGTGATTTATTCTGGACACAATTAAATCAATATTGATGTAGGTAAAACATTTCCCAAGACAGCACTGTTTACACAAAAACATGGACTAGATACTGTATGTGTTTTTTCTTTTCATTCTTTGTGATCTTAATAATGGATCACAGTAGAAATGCTTGTGCATAGCATTCATTAGCCTCTCAAAGCAGCCCACCTGTGGTTAGCCAACAAACAATTCACTTTCAACCCACCAGCAATGCACCAAACCAAAAACTACATTCAATGACAAATTCATCTTGAGTTCCTGAGACACAACAGATCTTTTGTCTGTGGAGATTTGACAGCCTCAGAGGCGGTTCAGAATCGTTCTTGCCCCTTGCTGTGTTTGCATCAAACCTCAGATCTGACCCAAAGGTTTTGAAAGAAAGGCAAAATTTTAGAACAGATGCAAGTGAAAAGTAAACTTGGTGAGCAAACTTTTGCAAAACTCACTACATTGTGTCTGTATGACTCCAACACAAAAATAAATAGAATTTTTTTATTTAGCCACCTTCCTCCCACATGTTCATGCAGGTTTCTCTTTAACTTTTACTGTACATGAAAACCAGAAATAAATATTGTCCAATTATATTTGTGTTTATGCATTTATATTTATATAATATTTATATATATCATTTTTTTTATTATGCATTTTGTTGATGCTTATCTTCAAAGTGCATTTAAAAGTGCAAAGTGCATTCTGTTGCTGTGTGAACTTGGCATTTGCCTGGAAATAGAACACAGAACCATAGCGTTGCTGGCATCATGCTCTAGCATGCCAATTAAACATCAAATTGATTAATTCTATAAAAGAATCTCATTTTGAAACTACTTTCATTATTTTAACACCTGAATCATTGGCGTTTCTGAAGGTCATTTCTATCAGAATCTTGTCAAAGAATGACATTTACTTTGAATTCAAAACTCTTTAAAAGAAGTTCAGTATACCTCTGACCTGGGAATCTAGGGATAACTGCCTTCTCAGCAATCTGCCATATGTGGAGTTATTTTAATATTGGACGCTGAGGAGAAAGAAACCAAGTGGGAATATAGGGAGAGTGGGAAGAAAGAGACCCACTTACAAAAACAAATAAACACTTCTCTGCTGTCTGCACGATTACTCTCACCACACAGTCTCTCAGTGGTGTGTATTTCTGTTTAAACACACACAGTTTCTAATTTACATATGACTTCTGGCTCATCTCACTCCCACTCAAACAGAAATTCTTCATGCTCTGTGAGAGGGCAGATTCTGCAACCTCTGATTCGTAAATGATTTCCAGTCGACTTCTCTCTCTAAGAGCTATTAATTCATTAGCACTTATTTTCCTATAGCCATGTTCAGAGTCAGCTACTAAGTTTCTATCTATCTATCTATCTATCTATCTATCTATCTATCTATCTATCTATCTATCTATCTATCTATCTATCTATATATCGGCTAATCTATCTATCGGCATATCGATTGGTCTGTCATTCTATTTATAAATCTATCGTTCTATTTCTCGGTGAATCGTCCTATCTGCCTGTCTGAATGAATAAATAAATAGGAATGCACTGCTCATGCACATGTATTTGTGTCTTTTAAACAGGACACCTGCAATGATTGGCTGTTCCTTTGTTGTGGATCGTGAGTATTTTGGAGAAATCGGACTGCTTGACCCAGGCATGGAGGTCTATGGAGGAGAGAACATTGAGCTTGGTATGAGGGTAAGTAGGGTCCTGACCAAAGCCTTTTATTTATTATTATTTGCCTTAGATAATCAAAGAATGGCAGTAGAGACAAAGAAGTGTCTGCCTTGTTAATTTTGTTCTTTTGAGACATTCACAGACCAGTGTATTCTTGTAATTGGAATTCATTGAGCAGTGTAGCATGTGAGACCCTCTCAGAAATGACAATTCTTGAATCTGGCCACCCTTTCTGTTAATTCACAGGTGACATATAATTAAGTCTATCTACAAAGATTGAGCATTTGACATACGTTTAATTACATTTCTTCATGCTTTCATGCCCAAGGCATCAAACTAGAGACTGGTTTGGGGGTAAGCATGCAGATTCCCCACTCCATCAAGGAGTAAATGCATTGCCCACAGGAAATGAAAGTACTCAGTGCCAAATTACACAGACTCAAATGCTTTAAAGGCAGTAGAGTACAAAGAAAGTAGATTCCTGCAGCTGCAGCCCTGAGAGAAATTTCATGGCCCACATGGTCTGTGAGCCTGTGGAGAATTGAACTTGTTTAAATTCAGAAACTGTTTTTTCTGTAGGGTGTCGAATATCCTTGGAAGATTTGCATAATTTGGATAAAAATCCTTTAACTCGTTTTAAAGATTCAGTGCCAGTGTTGGTTGACAGAAAAGTCTTTTCAGCCTGAAGATAGATTGAACTATAGAGACGAATAGTATTGTTTGAAATGTCTAATTGAAGGTGGTTTAAATTGTCTGTTTGTTAAGTCTCAGTGACAGTTGATACAATAGCAGACTCAGTCATTTGTGGGTTTCTTTGTAAGTAGTTTCCTGTTATGTTGTACTTTCTCTTACATACAGTTGTCAGTCTCAAAATACCAAAATCAGCATCAACAGTGTTGCTGAAACGTCAGAGGCATTGTTTTCCCTTTATTTTCAAGCGATTGGTATTGATTGAAATTGCACAGTGACTATTTGCACCCCAATAGTCTGGAGAACAGTGCACATGTTCTGATATTTTGCGTAGCTGCTTATGTGCTGAGACTTGATTTTAAAGACATTTTTTTTTTTGCTTTTTGTACAATAAATTATAAAGTAATGAGTTTGGTCAGACATATCCTGGCTGATTTAAGCAGCAAAATAAGACTTGATATTTTTATTTTTATTGTTAATTGTTCACATATTTACTAATATTTCATGGACCACTTTTGAGAAGTTTATATATATTTTTTATTTTATTTAATATATATATTTTTTTTACTAAAATACATTTTAACACATTTTTTCTGACCCCAGTTTGAAATCCCCAGGTCTAGTGTTCAGTTGATTACTTACACAAGTATATAAAAAAATGTATTATAAGTTGTTGAAATTTGTATGTTTAATTATGCAAATTAGGCATTCTCTCATTAAATATGTGCAATTTTGCATATATTTTTGGTAGATAGATCTGAACATATGATAAAGCCAGGTGCAAAAAGTTTACACACAAGATGAAAAAAAAAGTTCAGAGGGATTATACAATTGATTTTCGCCATATTTTTTTGTATTAAAATGTCACATAAATCAGGCCAGGAATGATTTATTAACAAATCCCTCTGAAAAAATCTTCAGAATACTGCTAAGTCTATAACTGGACAGTTTGATGTACATAGGTGCTACATAGGCTGAGATATTTGTACTGGAGAATGACAAAAAACTAATTTTGAGAAAAAGGCATTTAAAGATTTAAGTAGGGAATTTAATACATTTCTTTTGGAAAAAAAAAATGCTCAAAAACAGAATAAATGCTCAGGCCCTTAGTAATAATAATATATAATATTTCAAGCTCATGAAAACGGATTATTTAATAGCATGGCAGGCATAAAAGGCCTACAACTGCAGTAACTCAATGAATTAACATTGGCAGAGTACACCTCGTGATGCGTCTGAGCGAATCACGTTAGCAGAAACCAGCAGTAGCCAATGAGATTTCATCATTAGCTTTAAATCACTCTTTGGACATTCACGATTGGTTACTGATAGAAAGGAAATGCCCATATTTGGGTTACATAGCGTTGTGCAGGAGACTCAGAGCTTTACAACGATACCGGTCATGACAGACTTCAGTAAACAGACGGAGTGTGGCATGACGCGTTGGAATGTATATTTTCAACGTTTTCTTTATAGCAGCTTGAAAGAACACATATTGAAGGAGTAAACTAGCCCAAAATCTCAAAACTGATCACTGCATGAAAAAGCGATGTTTTTGCCTGCCGTGTCTCGCCTTAAAGACAACAAAGACAGATAGTTTAGCCAAACATGCAATGTTCTGTCATGAAACTCTAGATAGCGCCGGTTAATAGGTCCTTAACTTAATCTGCTTACAATCACATCATTCTCTATAGGGCACAGCTGATCCGTACCAGTACCAGTAGCCAATGAGCTCGCTGCTCAACCTTCAAATACTTGGTTAGCCTTTTCTGTAAAATTTGCAGTACGCATCATAAAACCTCCATCTTCCCCAGCTCCACCTGTATAGATATGCTACGTGCAATTCATAAAGGATGTTTTGTACTGCAGCAGCATGTCTTACTTGCTCACAGCAAAAAGTGGCACAGACTTATCCCACTCTATCCTATTTTACCGTAAGCATGTGATCTGCATGTGTCCCCCAAATTTGCATGAGCCCAGCAGACAATGTGAATTCTATTTGTTCCTTACATGCTGCAGAAGGTAACAGAAAAAACTGACAGAATAGCCAGTTTTGCAAATGCGTCCCAGCTTTGAAATAAACCAAATGCTTATTGATGCCGAACACAGTGATGGAACATGTGATCCATCTCAGCCTCTGATTAATCCTCCGAAGCTGATGCAGCTCATTCAAGAGGAATAACATTTGACTGACAGCAACATATTCCATAATTAACCTTATGCCACACCAAATAGACAACCTCAGTTCACTTCTTAAAGAGATTCAGAGGTGGGGAGTCGAAGAGAAGACATTGTAGAGAAATTGGCACTGATTAAATAGGTTATATGAAGACTAAAAAACATTAGGAAATATGTGCAGTGGTATGATGGGAGTTTAATTTGTGTGAAGTGTACCAAATGCCCACAAGGGAAATTAAAACTGCTTTAAAGTGGCTCAGAAAGAGCTGAATTGACACTTACTGCCCAAAGTAATTTAATTTTAGTGTATATCAGTTAAATCTTATCCTGAATTGACATTTTGCTCTTTTACCAATGCAAGTAGGAGTTCATATGAAAGGGTACTCACAGGGAACCGACCGTTGAGTGGTATTTTATAGTATGAGGATTATCAACAAATTTGTTTACTTTCTTTACCAACTGCACATTTTTTGACTTTGTGCCTTTAATTTACATGTATGCAGTTAGCAGATGCAGTTATTTGAGTGACACTACTAGGGGTGTGCCGGTTTCAGAATTGGTGATGACGGTTATGACGTGAGTCAAATGTGACGGTTCGTAACATAACCTTATGCTTGTGGGGGGGGCTTTCAAAGGCTGTTCTTTAATTCTACGTTTATTTTGAATTAACAGCAACTAGCAGTGAATGTGCTTTCCATTAAATGAATCACACACAGTAAACAAATCCTTAAAAAAAACAGGCCTTTCTTTGTCAGTGTCGGCTGCAAAGATGAAGTTGACGATGCTGACTCGCGATCTTCGCAGTAGTCAACGCTCAAGAGAGAAATGCACATTTCATACGGATTACATAAGCTGTAGTCTGTTTGAATTGTTCTGTTTAAAAGTAGACATGTCTGTGACATGTCTACCTTATATGCTGAGTTTCGGTTCATTTATGTGACGAGCTCCAGTTCACGCGCCGGCGCCTCCGTTTCGTGATGATCTATCGTCTGCTATATTTACTTCTTATTTATTAAATCCAGGCAATTGGTTGATTAAACATTCATTAAAATTAAGATGCAATTAATCCAAAACGAAATTCACTTTAAAGAAAGGTTTTGTGCTTTCTGTTTTACGTCTCTGTGAACGTTTTACTCTGTGAGATGTGATTAAATGTCACGTCTTTTAGTGGCGCTTTCAGACCGGTCACATCCGTAACATTGTTTTTTCCTCATAAATGCGAACACGAAACATAAAAATAAAATGAATATTTTATGTTCTGTGGAGACTACTGTTACTCATAATTTGTATTCTGAATACGTAACGCCGGTACATGTATTCCGTTACTCCCAACACTGATATTAGTATAACCTTATCTGCAAGACATTTTAATAATACGGTTTTGGCGGTTATAGAGTTCTAATGACGGTGTTCAACTATAACCGTCGGTCTCACGGTTATATGATAACCGTCACGCCCCTAGACACTACTGAACTTACAGTGTGTGAAGATGCTTTAGCGGCATATTCAACACATTCTTATCCTTTGGCGTCATATAGGTGACGCCATATGACATTTTGTTGAAATCTTACGCACATGGCATCCTTTAGCGTCAATATAACACACACTGTTATGGGTAGGTTTAGGTCTGGGGTAGGGTTACGGTTATGACGCCTTGGGATCTGCGTCTCATGTTGACGCTAAAGGATGCCATGTGCGTCGGATTTAGACGAGCGTCACCTGTATGACGCCTTGGGTTCTGCGTCTCATATTGACGCTAAAGGATGCCATGTGCGTAAGATTTCGACGAAATGTCCAAAGCGTCACATGTATGACGCCTTGGGATGAGAACGGGCAGGCATATTATAGTGATATATAAACATTAGGGCTGTCAAAATTAATTTGTTTATATATATAACTAAAATATCACTTTTTTGTTGTTTTGTCTTCTTCAGTATCGTCAATGATATAAAAAATGAACTATGGCAATAGATGGAGACATCTTTTAAAAGATTTATATAGATTTCACAATTTTCTGATGTCTTTTGTCCTGCTTTATTCAGGTCTGATGAAACTAATGGCGAACAAATTCAGCGAGACTGTTGCTCAGATACAGAGCCAATTCTGCAGAACCTTTTTTTAATGATTCAAAGGACGTAATGAGATGGATTTCA